TTTTTTTTTTTGCCAGGAGTTGATAAAACAGTAGTCCAGCCACCCCCAGAATTTTGTCAGGTTGCCTTGACAATTCGCCACTGATCCTGGCCAGGGATCCAACTCGGACGAGAAATCCCAAGTCCAGCACACTAGGCCTAGCCACACCTTCTCATGCAATTTCTTGATGAAACCTATAATTTTATATTTTTCCTACTCTTTCAGGTGCTTGCTTTAAACAGAGGTGAACAAAACAAGATTCTCACTGTTAAACTTATCATTCCCAAACATGTGGAAAACCAGTTCCTTTCTCATCTTCGTAAAACATGGGTGCCCTGTGATGCTCCAGGTAGGTAAAGTCTGTGTACAAGCCTAGTTGTTCATCAGGTCACCGCTTGTTTCCAGTTTCCGCTGTAAGAGGCAACTTAGGAATATTTCCACTCCCCCCGGGATGGGATGCCAGTCCATTGCAGGGTTAGCCTCAGCTTTAAATTAAATTTGCCAATGCACCTATTTCATTTATACCTTACCTGGGTAGAGAGAGGCACCGTGGTGGGAGTAGCATCTCTTGCCAAAGAACACAACACCATGACCCCTACCAAGGCTCAAACCCAGGGATTTCATTAAAGACCAGGCACTGGACCCCCTAGCTTGGCAAGGGACTTTAGACCTTATATTTGTCCTGCCTGGTTGTCATACTCTGATTTCCACCTGCTAAACACTGATTGAAACCCCTGCACGCCCTAACTGCTCAATCTAGAGTGCAGTGCACAAACATTACATGTAGGCTGCTATGTGGCCTCCCAGTTTTTCCAGGTAGTGTATTACGCTGTGTACTGTAATTTCCTTTGACTAATCTATTGGTTAGGAGCAGTCTAAATGGAAAGGTCCTTTAGCTGGACTTGGCTTCATAAGAAATCTTTTCAGTTTTACAGCAGATCATTTATATTTTTAAAGGAAAGATGCAAACGTTATTCAAGACTTCAGTGGATGATGCATACAACAGACTTATTAGACCAAAGATTACCAGGCAGTCCAGGTAATTAAGTTAGTATATTATAAAACGATTCGAAATTACGAGCACAATAATATTTATTACTCCCTGAATTGTACGACGGAAGGTCCAGTTACTAATCAATCGTATCAATGACAAATTTCGAAAGTAAAAAGTCTTTTGGAACTTTTTTTTGAGCGAAAAAGTTAGTAGGGCTTTCCATAAGTTCCTAACACTATAGGAAACATTATGAAGGAAGCCATTTAAACACGCGTAATTGACGTGCGAATGGCGTAGGTATCTAATTATAAGAAGTTGTAATTGGATACCTGTAATTGGACACCCACGTGATCGCGCGCCGATTACATGACAAATAGGTGCGCAGAGAACCAACCATGATCGAGAATTTTGTTATAGATACAATACATAATGGTAATAGGACTGAGTGGAGTTCAATTCGGTCTGTAATCATACAAGTGATTAACATAATCACGAGTAAAGATCACAATTAAAAATATGGAGAATAGCTTGCAAAATGGCTGTTAAGGTTCTTTCAAAACAGTCAACGGAGACTGAACCTCCACAATTTTACAAAGGCAGCTTTTGAATTGGTTACTATGAATAGTGATTATCAATGTTGTGATTGGTGGATTTAGTGGAGAGGACTTAACATGATTGGCTCATGTTACTGTCCGATTACAGGTGTCCGATTACAACTTTGCAGATTAATTATTGAGCAAAATACAGCAGTTTATGCACCAATCACATTTGAGGAAATGTAATTGTTATGATTTTCATAAGTATTACTGTATTGTACATGCACAGCCCACGTGGAGAATTTGTTGATTGATCGTACCGCACAGTAGACTACGAGTAGTCCCTCTTTCGCTTAGTCCGTCGAGCGAGACGCGCAAGACTGCGAGAAAAAATGGCCGCCACTCGAAGTCTAACCGCACAGCAACTTCATTTTGTTGACGTTTTTTCTCTCAAGGAGTTCATTAACCAAACAGGCTGAAAAAGAGAGTGTTGACCTATTCATGATGAACCTATACCGCCTCCTTCTTACCCCTCCCATAAGGGGAAAGAGTGTCGTTGGTCTAGACCCAGGCTTCTCTCATGGCTGCAAGTTAGCGGTCCTGGGTTCCACAGGTGCGTAAACACTAAACAAAAACATGTTGCAATTTCGCTTCTCAAATTCATGAATAATTCATCAAAGTTTCAACAAAGGATCATGACCGTGACGGTGTTTGGATAATTAATATAGATTTCTACGATTTTATCGCTCCGTTTATTCCTTCATTTTAGTTTCGATTGAGAAGATATAACAAACGCTCGAGACAGTGTTTCACCACAATTCCAAACACCTCAAAGTTCGTCAAAAATAGTCCGCTACTTGTCGTATTTTCAACTCTCTTCTCGGTGTCTGGAAATGTGGTCAAACACGGTCTTTCGTGTTTGATATATTACATGAAATCTAAATGACATTCTGGTTCGTGGCGTTTACTAAGATAAATGAGATGGTTTACAAGTGAAGTATTCCTTTGCTCTTCACTACAGGCGAGGTTCTAGAGACAAGGGTGATATATCCATTTGGAAAAAAAGCAAATTCTGTACAAGCCAAAAACGCAGTAGTAGAACTTGTTTTAAAGCACAGGTAATCTGTATTTCTTCCTCAAACCATATCTTTAATTTAATTCAATAGCAGGGCAACTTTCAAATATGTACAGGTGCATATATCATTTTTGGCCCAGAGCCGCCTGTCCGACTTATCTGTTGGGGCCTGGCACCATGGCTCAGGACACACGTGGTTTGATTGTCTAGATTCTTGGACTTACTAAAGATTTTCACTAAAACTATGCTGGTTACTCTCTAGAAAATATTCAGTAGTCGATATTTGCCCAAATCCATTCGATTACAGCACCTACAGACCTTCAGAAAGTTTTAAACTACAGCCAAGAACTACTTGTGTTGGAGAGATGTGCAAAGATGTGAAATCACAACCGTAATACACTACCCCCATTGCCCCTTTCAATACTGGAAAATGGTCAAATGCTGCCTTTTGTTAGATGAAAATGTTTTGTCAACATTGCGCAAGGGTGGGGAGGGGCAAAATAGGGTATAGAGTGACGTTTTCAAACCTTGTAGCAAGGTTGTGGCTTACGGGAGAGAATTTTCAGTGAAGTCTTAATGAAGATCTTAGTCCAGGAGTCTAGCCAATCAAGTCATGCATCAGGGTTCGTACGGGTCCTGGAAAACCTGGAAAGTCCTGGAATTTTATTGTGGCATTTTCCAGGACTGGAAAGTCCTGGAAATCTGTTAAAGTCAAGTGAAAAAACATTAAATGTATGGCAGACAGTAAGGAGAGTTAACATTGAGATAATGGGAGTGAAAGGGTTAACGTGAATTTTAGAGTCCTGGAAAAATCAATCTGAGTCCTGGAAAAGTCCTGGGAAAGTCCTGGAAATTTGTTTCTGAAAAAGGGTACGAACCCTGAATTGCATATTCAGAGCCATCTTTCCCTCGCACCAAGGTCCCCGCGGACTAAGAGATGGCTGATGGCTCTGGAGATGAGAATGATACATATATTTACGCTGCTTTTATCCACACCTTGATCGTAAACTCGTTTAGGATAAGAGAAAATGAAATTCAGCTAGAGTAAAACGCAGCACTTTGATTTCATATCGGCTCATAATTCTGTACATTATAAATTGAAGTGGAATTTTTTGAAGTTTATAACACTTTAAAGGAAAATTACAGAATATATAACGAGGTAATTCAAGCAATTGTGCCTTCAAGCCATATCTAGTTGTAGACTCAGTACTGGTATCTCTTACAAGTATGTTGTTTCGTTAAACTAACATTTTTCCCTTACCCAATTTGATCGTGCATAGAGCAGTTTTCACTTGAGTGTCGAAAAGTAACTGGTTTTGCTTCAACTACGCTACACGATTGGCTTAAAAGAACCGCGCCACTTTTTCATCCGATTAGAAGTGAAACCAAAATCAATCATGACTCACCCGCACTCGTTTTCCCGCGCTTTGCGTCGGCGCCATGAACCTACTTCGAGTTTTGATTGGTTCTCTATATTGTAAGTGTCCTTTGTGATTGTCTAGAGTGATAACTTTGGTTTTGGTTTCTACGACTCTCATTCGAAAACCGCTCTATTTTCCAGTTTAATTCAATATGTTTTCGTTGAATATTCCTGTACACGCCTTCGGAAACAATTTGGTCCTTAAAAATTTGTCAAAATGTGATAGGTTAGCTCACAGTTTTGCTGTTGTTATCGTTTACAGATGTGACTATGTCGCTATTGGGAATGGCGTTGGATGCCGAGATGCTGAAACATTCATTAGCCAGCTCATCAAAGAACGCGTATTTGCGCCTCTGGAAATCGCTTACTGGTAAAAACAAACAGAAGTTTAACTGATTTATGAGTAGTGTTGTCAGAGGATTCCCTCAGAAATGATTCATTAACACCCTTAAAGCATGATAACTTGTACTCCGCAAAAAAAGACGATGACAACAGATCAGCTACAGGCTCTGTCGGGATTTTTCAAAAAGTCTTAAACAGACCATTTAGTCGGTGCTTTGCCTTAGAAATATTCTTTCTCATGACAACACCTCCTCTGTGCTTTTTGTCGAAATAATGGCATGCCTTCTTGAGCTTTTGTAACAACATAATAATAAAAATAGACTTTTAATAGGAGATAATATTTTTTCAATTCAGTATCGTCAGCGAAGATGGAGCCTCTATTTACAGTGCGTCTCTAGAAGCAGCAGCTGAGCTGCCAAGCCTTGACACAAGTCTTAAGGGAGCTGGTAACTAACAGCAAAATGTTCATTAACCGCCAACCTCGTACCCAGGGCTTTATCTAGCCACCGTGTTGGATTTGATTGCCAGAGTGACCATGGAGACGAGGTTGCGGTTTTGCTGTAGCCGTTTTATTCATAACGCATTGCCTGTCGTTTTAATTGTGGCTATGTTACTTTTTAGTATCGATAGGGCGGAGGTTGCAGGATCCTCTGACAGAATTGGTGAAAATTGAGCCCAAACATTTGGGTATTGGAATGTACCAGGTAAGTGGGACGCCGACAATTACCCAGCTCAGGGGGCTTAGTTTTGGAGTTCAACGGCTGTTTTCTGACCTCGTTTTGAAATTGAGGTTAAAGATGACTCGAAAAATGACCGATTATGTCTGTTAGGCTACATCAACCTCGTTCCCAGGGTCTTTTTCCAAGCCTGGGAAAAGGCCTTGGGAACGAGGTTGAAGCTACATGCCACTGACAGAATTGATTAGCATGCTAACATTATCTGACACTTTCATCAAAAAACGATCAATTCTATTTTTCCTATTTATCTTTTTATTTTTCATCCGGGCGATGCATGTAAGTGTGTCACATCACTAAGAATTCAATTTTTTCATTCATATCTGTTTTATTCTGTCTGGTATTTATCAGGGAGTGATCAGGCCCCAGGCTTGAAAATAGCTCTTCTTGTGTAGTTATGAGGATTGCCGGCTTGTCTGGTTTTAATATGTTTCTCGCTCTGTCACAGCATGATATTCCCGAGTCCCTGCTCCGAGGAGCTTTGGATGGTGTGGTGGAGGACTGTGTCAGTTTTGTAGGAGTTGATTTAAATGTCGCCGGAGTCAGTATGTTAAGGTAATCTGTACATTACGGTGTCTGAATTGTCAATTATTCCTTTCTAAGCTTTCCAGTGGTTTGCTTGATATCAGAACAAGTAATCCCATGCCTCTAAGTTACATTTGGTGGAATGATAACCTGGTTATTTGAATTCTTCACCGCGGCTTGTGACAGTAGATAAGAGAAAATGCCAGTACCTAAGTAAAAGGGTTCCCCCGGTTCAAGCCAAGGTACTTGATAAAATATCATTAAATCAAATCAAGAAAACGCCAAATTTCCACTCGAATCAGTGAAAGAAAGGGAATTTTGTTGTAGCTCGCCGTGCTATCTTGTATTCCTTTCAGGCGCATAGCTGGTTTAAATGATAAGAAAGCGAAAGCGATTCTAGCGTGGCGAGAAGAAAATGGCACCTTCACCAACCGTGAGCAGCTGAAAGCAATCAAGGGGATTGGGCTCAAAACCTACGAACAGTGTGTCGGGTTCGTCCGAATAATGAACAATTCACGTCACCATAGCAACGGTGATGAGCCATCCGTCAGCGGGCAGCAAAGGACAGCGGTTAACAGCATCAGTGAAACGATTGTTGTGTTAGATTCCGACGAGGAAGGACAGACAACGGTGCGTGGGAAGAAAAGAAAGGGCGGCAGCACCGAGGACGAAGTAAAGAAGAAAAAGAAGAAATCAGCGAGCGAGCAAGAGTTTTGTCCAGAGCCACTGGACATGACTTGGATTCACCCGGAGTCCTATTCAGTCGCTAAAAGGTAAATTATCCACACTCAATTTCGCCTGTCAAAACTCTGACGATTGTTTGCGCTATTATTTTAATTAATCAAATGGCGTCTGAGTAATTGTTCTGTGCGATAGACAAACACAAAGGAAAGGACCCCATGGACTCCATTATGTCACCACAATGTCCATGTTCATTTGGTACTCCCAGAATTTCTCTTCTTTAGGAAATGCGTTCTTTTCTTATGTCAAGACTACCTTTATTGGAGACACCAATTTGAACGCCAGGGAAACGCTCTATATCGCAGAGCAGGAAAAGAATTTTGAAATCCAGTTGCCCAGTGGGCCAGTACATTTCAGTGTTCAGTTGCCCCCATTGAACTATCACTTGCCCAATAAGTGTGTAATGTTCATTCCTTATCAACAAACAAGACTGCTGAGGCTAATTTCGCTTGCCCACCGTACCACCAACCTTCCATTTTCACTTTCCCAAGAGTAAAAGTTACTTGCCCTGGGCAATCGGACCTGGGTTTTTGTCCCACCCTGTGTCAAGCCGAAAGATACGAAATTCTTTCTAGGTTATTCTTGTTGCGCGCGCGCGCTCTTGAAAAAAATTAGCAATATTCACTGACTTGGTTACGCAGCGCAGGGATAACCTAATACGAGATTTCAGTATCTAAATAATTTTTCCATTTTTTAGGGTCATTGAGATGCTGGGTATGCTACCAGAGCAGATTGGTCAGCCAGTGATGAAAACTGCCATCGACAAGTTTTTACAGGCTCGCAGTGAGTAGGTCTTCCTCTTGTCTGCCTTCCTTCCTTCTTGTGTTAAAATTCCAACAATGCTTTGTTACCGAGACGAGTGTTTTTTTCCATAACACTCATTTCAAATGCGTGAATCTTTGTGATGGCCGATGAGACGCTCTAGCCAGAAGCACCACGTACCTCTCAGAAGGCTTAAGGCTGAGAAAAACTTTAGAAGTTGAAGAAACAACAGACACAATTAACCCAGTAGAGGTGCGTGGAGCAGGGAGCGAATGAAATGACAAGTTCTGAAGAAGTGCTTGGCTCTCCTTCACTAAACTTAAGACAGTCTCTTGGTAGTTAGACGATCTTTCTTTCTTTTCTTCACTTTGTGACGTGATTGTGTGCTTTGCATTGCTGACTTTGACCTGCACTGTTCCATAGAGATTGAAGAATTAGCGGGAAAGTTTGGTGTAGGCACACCCACATTACAACATATTATTGATGGTCTCAAACAACCAACGGATCATGACATACGAGTCAGTAAGTATACAGCATAACAAAATCTGTGTTCACATATGTCGTTTAGCAAATATTAAATCGTAAAGACTGAAATACGTTGCATGCGATTCATGTGGTATGGCATGCACAAAGCCTACGGGCTGACTTTGACAAGACGGAGATGACCGATCGACCTATTGTTTCCTCAATGCATGCAGGCTCTTCACCAACCGTGTACCGAAGTACTGACGAATCTTTTGCGGCACAAACACGTTTAATGTTTGACTTTATGTACCTGATTTGCGTTTAAGGGCATCCACCTCATATTTTTGTGTGCGATTGTTTTACTTTGTAACTTTTTTCATATTGCACGCCTCTGCAACCCAAAAAAGTGTCTAACATTTCTTTACTTTTGAATATATCTAGATTTTCAGAAGCCCATGTTCAAACAAGATGTGACCTCACTAGAAGACCTTCATTCGGGAACCCGGCTAAGCGGCCGCGTCACGAATATGACGTCATTCGGGGCCTTTGTGGACTGCGGTGTCGGCCGTGATGGCCTGGTACACAATAGTAGCATGGGAAGATTCAAAGGCAAGGTCGGCCTGGGAGATCTTGTCGAAGTCACTGTTAAAAGTGTGAATATCCAGAAACAACACATCGGTCTGATTTTAACGGACATATCATCAAGGTTTGATCCACAGTTGTTAGTCTCCATCGGAAATTTATCTCAATCGTGCGCGCGATAAAAAGAAATGTATTTTGTTGACGAACCTAGTAAGCAAGGAAAGACTTGATCGCGTTAAGGTAATTTGTCAATAATGTAAAAAACGTGTCAATAGTTGATATAAATTATATTTATTAGAGCAAATCGAAATTCGAAACTAAGTATTCGGTAATATTGCTATTGCATCTGTTGTTGGAAATAACAATTCGAATTTTTGATATCCTGAAGAAAACTCGTCAGTAGGTTTCTGCGTAAATGTTGTGTTACTGCTATAAGCAAGAGAAATACAGGGTGTCATTAAATACGACAAACGGTCCCCTCACTTGTTGCTCTTTTAACCATTATCGTCAAATCCTGTAAGTTATGTTCGTTTGGAACATCAGTCTAAATTCCAGGTCCTCTCTACCTTTTTCAACTACAAATAAGCGGATTATGGTAATCACGAGCCTGGAGCCTTCAAAATCTCCTGACTTTGATCTAAAACTAAAATGTCGTAAAGAAAGTGCGGAAGTGTAGGAAAGGCAATAAGGAGAAACCAGAAGTTGATCAGTTTTGGAGACTAAAGGAAATATGTCACTCTGATGGCGCTCCTTGAAAATTTTCAGTTGACCTTCCCGTTCTCTTTTGTTTGTAGAGCGGTTCTCAGTTGAGTGTCGCAAAACCAAAACCAAAGTTATCATTGCAGCCAATCAAAAAGGACACAAACAATACAGAACCAATCAAAATTCGAAGAAAACGCATGTAGCTGACGCGAAGCGCGGGAAAACGTGTGCGAGCGAGTCACGATTGGTTTTGGATTTACTTCTGATTGGATGACAAAGTGGCGCGAATTTTATTGGTCAATCGCTTAGCCTGGTAATGCAAAACCAAAGTAAATGCGGATTACTTGCGACACCTCAAGTGAACACTTCTCTTATCATATGACTGAGAAAATTACTTCATTGTGATTGGCCGAGAGCTGGCCAATTTTTTCGTTACTTTTAATTTGTACTACAGTTAGTCATGTATAATAAATGACGAATTGTATGAAAGTTCGGGAAATTAAGGATTTACACTACTCGTGATATGTGGAAATTCTTTCAAATTGCAGAGGCCGAAAGGCCAAATATCATCGGTAGTTAATTCCTTAATCCTCCGTAGGAAAAAAGACGGCGACTGGTACATTTACCCACAGTTCTTAGCGCACGACAACTTTAAAAACGTTTATTAAAACATACAGAAACGTTATAAAATCTTCAAACCCAGGCTACTCAATGTCCTTTGTACAGGGACAAATATCATAAACATTTGGCTTTCTTAGTGCCTTATAGGCTGTGTTAGGTTCGCAAGGCATTATGGTAAAATGTACAGCCGCCATCTTTTTTCCTACGGTGGATTGCACTTGCGTTCATGCGATTACATACTATACTAATTGACTCTTTGATGATGCTCTACCTTGGCATATTATGATCTTGACGTTCTTTTTGATCCAAAAGACAATTTTATTCTACGAAAAACGTGACTCGTACATCACAAGTTAGCTACATAAAAAGGTTAACAGGGTTTCTTGTTGTAAAGCAGAATAGGCACCGCCAGACTCCAGATGTAAAGAAGAATACACATGGAGCTCGAAGTCATTTTTATACTCATGGCTGCCCAGGCGATTGAAAGCTTAATGTTCGAGCCATCTTTTGGAGAATACCAGTTTGTTAAAACCATTGTCACATGAACTGCAGCGATAAAATACACAAAATGAAAAAAGGAATAGCTGTAAGGAACCTTCCCGTCTGAGAATTCAAATTCATCGGAAGGTGTTTCAGTCTCGGTGACTGCGTCGTCGTTTCCTCGGTCTTCATTCGGGCACTCTTCATCGCCGTCTTTGACTTTCCGACGACGAAGCCCGATGATGAGCCGAAGTGAAGTCGCGATCAGTTTTCGTAAAGTGTCGGTAATCGGGGATATACGAACGCTGAAGTATATAATCGTGACTACCAGCAAAAACAGGTCCAACGAGGCTTGAATGTTAAGACTGGGTCTCATGTCTGCTTCGGACACGTATGTCGCAACAGGGTTACAACGCTCGTTAGGATTGTAAGACAACGCTGACCATGTCAGGTAAACTGAATATGTTGTCACCACGGAAGATTGCAGCAATCCGCCATCTTGAACCTTTGGGTGAATTGAAATAATTCCTGCCACTGCACACAGGACAAGGTTTATACTCACGAACATCTTGTTTGTTTTGCATCTACGCGAAGCACCGAAAAATACGTAAAAACAAACAATGGCCGTGGCAGAAATTGCGTAAAGAATTACAGTGCAAGCGAATACGGAGTAAAACCAGCATTTCCTTCCACTTTCCTCCATTTTGCGCGCCCACGTTTTATTCCAAAGGCGCGTGAAATCCACCAGCAAAAATAACTGAATGATAATGAAAACAAAAGTTCCCACAAGACCCAGGTACATCCAAACCTTACTGAATTCCATAGGAATGAAAAATGTGAAGAGAACTAGGCCGAAAAATAGGCCAAACTTGACAAGCCATAATCCATTGTGAATCAAAGCTCTGGGATCACTGTATAATTGAACCGAGTAAAGAATCAGCGCGAACAAAAGAAAGAAAGCGGCCATTGAAAAGCAAATCCTGTACACTGCTAAGTAAGCCGGATCCATGCTCAGACAGTTTCCCATTCTCGTAAGCTTATTACAAAAGTACGCGTTGCTCTCGAGCGCGCGGCGCGTGGCGGGAAGATACATCGCGCACGAAACAGCCGTGCCAACCAATAGGAAGAACGTGTAGATAAACCTCGTCGATTTTGATTGGTTCCACAATGGACACGGTTGAATGAACAGTGTGTAGAGCGTTCTCCCCATGAACGTGCCAAGTGACGTCATAATGCCTTGTATGGAGTGTACTTCTTGGTCAGGAAAGATGCTTGGAGCGATGAGGCTCCAAATGTACAAGAATATTGTGACAAGGATGGCAAAGGTTTTCGCCGTGAGGGCAATCCAGTTTACAGCTATCTCCCCGTAATCTGTTTCCCTTGGGTTGGACCAATTAGTAATTACCATCATTGTGTGAAGCGAGAACATCGAAAATATAAAATATAGAAATGAAGAGCTGTAACTTTCTTTAGCTTGCGAGGAATTCTTCAACACCTCTGTTGTCTTTCCGCTCGAAATCATGCGCTTTCCAAATTTTCTATAATACGTTTGTGGTTCCCGCAAACAAGCGAAAGCCAAAAGGCAGAAAATAATTAGCACATTAGCAACCGAATATAAATTCAAGTCAGGTTCGTTCCCAATTTTAATCGCGTAATCTCGCTCCGCGTTGCATTCACTCTGTCCGTATCTGAGCGAAGCATACGTCAGATACGTGGTGTACATCGTCACGAAACTGGTTTGCAGTAATCGCTCTGACCATGAATCCAAAAAAACGGAAATAACAATGGCTACTAAGCACAAAACAAAAGTTCCCGTGAGCAGTAATAAATTTGTTCTGCAACTGTCTTGTTTACTGTAAAATGTGAACAGTAGCACAGCCACAATTGATGACGACAGAAACATGGCACCCGCAGATAATAACCGCAAAAAGTTCCAGAACTTTGCGGACGCATTTTTTTCCATCTTGTCCGTGAGAAATTCGTTCCAGCCTTTTGCGAAGTCCACCAAAAATACAAACTGTATTAACGTGAATAGGAATGATCCAGCAATTCCAAAATACATCCACACTAATCCAAAACCACTTCTTGGAATATTAAGCGCGCAAAATGCGAGCAGCGAAAGGAGCGCAAGTTTTGGAATCCAGAATCCTGAGTGAACTTTAATGCAAAGATTACTGTTTTCAGAAAAATAACAAAACAGGAAGTAAAGAACCATAAAGAAGATCGAGGTGGCGAAATAGATTCTGTAAATTAGCGAGTAAGGCAACATCGTTTGACAATTTTTCGACGAAGTCCGATTGTTAGTAGTACAGAAGACTTTCTCGGCCAGCGTAGTGTTCACACTGGGATAGAACAAGCCATAAGACGATACAATAACAAGAAGAAAGACTAGAAGATAAAACACATGAATTGCTGTAAAATCCCCGCTGGTCGTTGAACCTGGCCCGATCAAAGAAACAAAATAGAACTTTTTAGGCGGTGATTTCGTATTATTTCCAGMTTTAGAGCTCGGTTCTTCTCCTTCGTTGTTTTCGTYGCGTGTTTTCGATCCCACTTGGTTTTCCTTGTTTTCCTGGTTCTCTTTGRGAGTTAATTCTCCTTCTTGCAAATTTTCCATCTAATGTTTTGGTGTACTTCAGMCAAGGTCAGCCCTTTTGATCTGTTYTCGGTGGCTTTTAGAACGAGCTTGTCTTYCCGGCGGTTTGCAATAAAAGAGCTTGATTGTAGGCCAGCTAAACACATCAAYAGCTCTGTCTACTCTACCGCACAGTTGAATACACCAGTAATTCCKGCACGAAATCAGATACTGTATCCAGTGTTAATTCTCCGAGTCGAAMAATTTASGCATGCATGAGGGARGGGACAAACGAAACACCAGCAATATTTTTACTGCCAAAAGTCAGATTTCGCTGGCGTCATTTACAAAATAAATCGATAAGTTTCCTCACCTCTTAATCTGTTTTCTTGGATAAGGTGCCGAGATCATTGGAAATAAAACTGATGTATTTTGTGTCAACTGGTGGTCATTTCACGCCACCTGTTGCAGCGAGGCCAAATAAACCATGGAAATTCAGCACTTGTGTGCATATTTGACTTGAAGTTTCCTTTTCCATCTCCAAGAAGTATATTCATTATTTTGCTGCATGTGTAAGAATTTCTCTCGCTAGCTTCCTATAGCTTAGTACGTGCCTATAGCTAACTGTTGTGCGGTATTAAGAACAGGAAACTAATTCATCGCTAGGCTGTCGCTGGGACAACTAGAACTCAGGCCCCGTCAACAGTACGCCGGAGAAATTTGGAAACGCAGCTTTATTTCTACGGTAGCCTGCGAACAGGCTCCCGGTTAGGCCTGCCGTCCACACTAATCCGTCACGAAAACGGAGCTTTTCAAAAACTCTTCAAACAACAGAATTTGAAAAATCCGGTTTTGTGTTTTCAGTTAGAATGGAAAACATTTTGAAAACGGAACTTTTCGAAAACGCTGACGTCACGATAAACATGCAATTTCCTTGCCCGAGTTTTTCACGAATACAAGCTCAAAATGACCGCTGATTGTTGCGTTTTCGAATTTCTCCGGCGTAGTGTGTACGGGGCGTCATAGTTGCTGTTAATAGACCTTTCCCGCATTCCACTTCAGTGCGTTCGAACAATAGCACCAGAGCGAGGTTGGGGTGGACATTTTCATACATTTACTGTATTTTTGTCCACTCTGACCTCCACTTGGTGCTATTGTTTGTTGGAATGCGGGAAAGGTCTATTAACTAAGATGTAGGCGCTAAAACTGACTCAGAGAAATTGCGAATTCGATTCTAAAACGGCAATTTTAACATTCTAATTTAAAATTTGTACCCATCCCATCCGAGAGTAAAGAACGTAAAGGATCTAACGTAACAACTTCTTAACCCAATAGCAGATGAAACGAAAAAAATAATACTATACTAATACTACTTTAGCCATGCCCCATGCTCATACAGCTAAATCGGTTTTTTACTGTAGGCATTAGGTGTTCTACCTTCATGCGTGGCTTTGTCTCAAGAGGACCTCTCTCTAAACATGATCATCTGTTATAAAATTTCGACCAGTATCCTTCGGCACTGAGAAAAGCGGCTTAAGTTCATAGTAAATGTTATAACCTATCTCCCCCTCTCTTGATGTGCTGTTTAAAATTTCCCATTCCCTTCATAAATTTTAATTTTCTGGGGCTGACTCAAATACTTAAAATTTAACTACAATCCATTTGAGACGTTATTATGGCGCGATCGAGGTTGAGGAAAGATGAAAATCAAACAGTTAAGTGTATATAGTTACCCCACTGAAAAAAACCCAAGTGGTGGAGAGAGAGGGATGGAGTCGCTGGTCTTTTTTTGTGTACCCTTCTTTTAGCTTTGTCCTGCTTCTTTTTCGTTTGCTTCTCCTCCTCTTCCTTTGATCTGGCTAACACCCGCTGTTGTTGCCACAAGTTACGTTCTAATTCGCTTCGCTCAAACGAACGTAAATTATTTTATTCCCGAACTACAAATAAATCAGACGAGGAATATGGTGGGAGACACTAACCGGTTGGTTCGTTTTCTCCACTGACAGAGCGCATACAGAATTTGTTAGTTTCCTGCGCGGGGGCACTTCCCACATAAAAGTGTTGTGGGGAACTGCCCCCCGGGGACTGCCCCCTGAAATCTTGATAGGAAGTCCTAAAAAGCACCGGAATCGATCGCGTTTTGCGAGTTACGGCTCGAATTCATTGACAGGTATCAATTCTGTCTGGCCTACCGTAAAGTGCTGAATACTTTAAGCGCTTTAAATGGTTCCAAAACACAGGTATGAACACCTAAATGGATTTTGGAGCGGGGGAGCGATATCTGCGAGGTTTTTTTTTTTTTACCGATTCTCACCTCCTCTTCGATGACGTGTTCGTACTTCGCACATCTCTGTTGTGCGATTTCCTACCCAGCCTATACCATACCCCCCCTCCCTATCTTTATTTTATCTTATTTTGATCAGTGATTTTCTCGTTTGTAGCCACTGTACATGTAGAAAACTCCCATTTTATTTCATCGCGTATTAAAAGAGCCCAGAGTGCGACAAGTTCCGTATTCTACATTAAGTTAGATTTATAAGTCGTTTAACAAATCCAGCGACTTTATAGCTGAAGGACCTGCGGCGGAAAATTACATAGAAATTATATAACCGTGATGCATGGCATAACAATTTAATACTATTCCATAGCGAGAATTTTGTGCATGATGTAAAAACATACTTCTCTGGGTTTGAATTTTTTATTATTATGGTATCTAGGGAGCAAGAATGAGAAGTAAATATGTCTAAGTTACAGATGCTTACAGATTTACACTGGAATTACACTGAATTGCCCCTGACCCTGTGAGGGCTGGAGGTATCGCGCGCATGGGATGAAGGAGGTGAACTGCAGCAGATCGAGTTAAGATTGCTTCGCTTGAGAGGTATAAGATAAATTCATTCAGTGCACAAGTTTATAAGATGTGGGTGGTATGGTCTGTTTATGCAGCATATTTGCACTTCTTAGCACCTGGTTCATCAGATTACCTTCTTGTGAGCCAATCCGCATCGGCCACATTTTGTATCGCGGCGAACTCCAGTGGCGCATGCGCCGTCTGAACCGGGAACCTTCGAAAACTTCCTAACTCGACAAAATGTAAATTATGTTTGTGCCGCGGAATTCTCCTACGATGAATAGGTATTTTCTATTGAGGTTTTGGCTGTTGGTGTACTTTGCAGCACCTGGATCGTTTGAATCGTCGACCGACCCATGTTTTTGTGCGGTAAGTTCTGTTTGCCTTCCTGACGTTCAGGTTACTTTTGTTGTGATCGCTGAATCGTTCCACCCGTAAGCAGCTGGTCTGGTTGAAGTAATGACTTTAGCTTATTCGCAGACTGTTTTTTTAGAATTTACTTCTTGGACGGAAGGTCGATGTGTTAACAATGTCGATTGAAATGACTTGATTTCTGTAGCTTTTCAAATTATCTAGCGGGTGATGGCGAAAAATTCATAAGTTACATTAAGGCTAATATTTGTGTTATTTTTTTTCTGTCTGGTGGTTTCCCTGGGAGTGAACTGGGAAGGCTTTTGACACGATCGCTGAGCTTACTGTTGAATTTGACAACTACCACTGAATAAACAAGGGCTACAGATGTCAGATATATTTTAAAGCCTGTTTTTTTGGCTTAAATTAGAGACATCGATATCGTTACGTGTTACTGTAAAATTAATAATCATAAAATGTTTGCAAGCTTTAGCGTAATGCATGTACGCCAATATTATTATTTTGTGCATGCAACAAGCTTGAATAAAACTTCGTATTTTATTGTCACAGAACTAGACCCCTTTTGGTTTTGTTTCTTATCAGGCTTAAGAGAGACAAAGAGTACTTTTCTCCTGTACAAATTTATTTCTCGTGGCTCTTAACAGTTGGTGCATTTTTGCGTGCAAATTGTTGACCGACTTTACCAAGCTACAAAGACCGCTCATTCAGGCGCGGTCCAGAGGTTTAGTAGCATAAAAATTATAAGTTTGAGTTTTACATTGGCAAATCTTATTTTTACTCTCTTGTTGTATGTTCCTCAATACATGATTCATTTCCTGTTAGATACATAAGTAT